CTTGAGAAGACTTGGGACAGCGCCATGGTCCCGGGAACCAATCTTCTTTACTGTACCTTGAGAAGCAAGTATTGGTCTTGATTCCGGAGACTCATGTGTGTTTTGTTTTTGGTGTCCGTATATGATATCTAGTTTTGTTTGTGTGGCTTAGTGCCATCAGCCATCAGTAAGGCGCATGCGGCAAGCGCTGCGTAGATGGTCGGCAGCTGGGCCTTTGGACCTACTATTGCTTCCAGTACGGCTGCAAGGCTTGCTGAGTGGCGTTTAGCAGGTTTTGTACAGCAGCAGCTTCGGATTCTGCTGAACCAGCCCTGATTGACCAGTCTGAGATTGGTTGGAAGGGCCGCACAGAAACAGGCGCAATGTTTCAAGATTTTGGGGGTAATTGGAAACGCTTCCGGCTTCGAACCCTTGCTCCCTCCCAAGTCGTATGCGTCTCAAACTGGTTTGAACTGTAAAGCAAAGATGCGACATCTCAGACGACAGCTCTTTTGCCCCTGAAGCAAAAGCTGTCACGCGACGACTTGCAAGTGAAAAAGGGCTGTCTTGCGCCACTTGCGGATGATAGTGCCTTATGGTGAGTCACAAGTTGTGTTCAAACTTCTTTGGATGTTTGTCGTGGAAGAGTGGACGCATGTCCTGTCAGCCTTCCATGCGACCTATCAGAAGACCTAATACCGCCTCCCATGCGAACTGCATCATCGCAACAAGAACTGTGACTATGTCTCTATGCGTTTATTTCCTGGACGCACAGCCTGCCAAGGCCTTCCCCGCTGGACAGGAAGAACTTGGCCAAGCACTCAGATTCTCACGTGGCTTCCTTTTTTGGCACTCTAAATCTCAAGGACGCTGACACGTAGCCAGTGACAGTAGTGTAGTCAACACTACTCCTCCCCATGTGCTTTTGGGGGAGCATGCAGTTGCTTATCGTTTAATTCCTAGGCATTGATTTGATGTTGCTTGTGCTTCGTTCACTCCAAAGACATGCGCCTTCAAGCTTCTGGACGGACTGCTTGCTCATCTCAGCTTCGAAGATACTGAAACAAAAGTGACAAGAGACACAAGACGAGACAAGGCAACTGTCAGCTTTGCTCATATAACAGAGAGCAGCTCAGTACTGTAGATCATGGATTGCCACGGAAAGTTATATATGTGCTTCTTGCATTGGCGGACGTTGTTGAAGTTTGAGTTTCCTTTGCATTTGACGCACTTCACCAAAGCCAAAAGCCACAGTGCAGCACAGCGGTAGCACACTTTGGTCACAGCAGCCTGGCCGTCATGCGGGGCATCAGTGCGCTGCGAGCGCTGCGAGCGCTGCGACTGGCTCGACTTGTGCGGACCGGCGCGTGGGCGTGCCACGGCATAGAGGCAGCAAACCAGCTGCCACCTGAAGCAAAAGCGTCAGTGTGTCTAAAGCTTTGGAGGTGCTGTCCATCTCGCACAATGTCCAACAACTTGACATACTCCCAGATCATTTGAGTCATAGAAGAGGTATGGACATTTGCCAATGTGCTTTCATATTCACCCACAGACGGATCTGGGAACACAATAAAAGGCCATCCAGTTCTCACATTCTTGGTCAACAAGATGGATCCCCAGAGAGCTTTAGACCGCAGGCATTACCACTGCCGCGCCCTTGCTTTGCAGTCCAGGGCTCACAGAGCCACATGAGTGGCAGAATGTCTTGGTGCCTACACAGGCACTGTGAAAACCTAGAAACCGAATCATTAGCGTGAGCTATCCCGCGTCCTAGCCAGGAGCGAACTTCTCCTAATAGCTTACTTCTCCCTTATTTAAGTAGGTGCCTACTTAATCAAGTAGGTGGCTACTTAATCAAGTATGGGCGGGCTTTAGACATATATATATATATATATATTTAAGGGCTTACGCCCGACAGCCGGCCAGGGGCCCAAGCAAAGCGGAGCGGGCAGGGAAAAAGGGCACGGTGGCGTTGTTGTTGTTGTTGTCGTCGTCGTCGTCGTTGTTGTTGTTGTTGTTGGTGGTGGTGGTGGTGGTGTTGTTGTTGGTGGTGTGGTTGTGGTTGTGGTTGTGGTTGTGGTTGTGGCTGTGGCTGTGGCTGTGGCTGTGGCTGTGGTTGTGCTTGTTGTTGTTGTTGTTGTTGTTGTTGTTGTTGTTAGCCCAGCAGCCGCCCACGATGCAGACGAAGCACCCCGGTGCGGCACGCATTTCCAGCATTATTTGAACCTATGTTGGGCCATGTTGACCCATCTTGAACCACAAAGCCGGAAAAGTGGAAGAAGCAGAAAACACTGTAAAACACACAATTCCTGGGGTGGCGGAGGGGACTCCTTGGGCCCCTGGCCGGACTGTAAGGGCTTCGCCCGGGTGCCGCCGACCCCTTTTCAGGAGGAGTGTAGCATGTGTAACTGAAGGCGTTTGTGTAGTTCCGGTGGTTGCCCGTCTGTGGAAAGAAGATGGGCGTTCTAGCCTTAGGAGGCGAAGCTAGGGAGTGCAAGTACTATGCACGGTCGTGGTGGGCTGGGGTGCTGCAGGGGCA